AAATTTTTTTTTTTTTTTTTTTAAAAAAAAAAACCTTTTTTTTTTTTTTTTTTTTTTTTACAGTGCTCACTCAATGGTTTTATCACATATTTTTTGCCTCCAAAAATTTTTGATGTTTTTTTTTTGTATGTGTGTGTGTGTGTGTGATGTTTTTAAATCATGGCACTGCTGTGTGACTTCCCCCTCCCCTCCCTGCAGGTACACGAGCTGTGTGATAATTTCTGTCACCGGTACATCAGCTGCTTGAAAGGCAAGATGCCCATCGACTTGGTCATAGACGACAGAGAGGGGGGGTCCAAATCAGACAACGAGGAAATCACAAGATCGGTGGCGTTGGACCAGGTAAGCTGCGTCTCTCCATCTGTAACGGCGTATATGCATGTGTGTGTGTGAGTGTGTGTGTGTGTGTGTGCACGTGTGTGTGTGTGTGTGTGTGTGCGCGTGTTCTCTCCCTGCTGGCTCTTCAGCTATTCTGGGTCACTGCCTCACTCTTCTGTTATTTGCATATGATTAAAGCCCGTTTTACATTCCATCCATCGGAATGAAAGAAGAAAAATCTGAATAATGTTGCTATTATTGGTCCATTAAGACTTGAACCCGGAACCGACCTGAGGAGATTACCTCGCCAAAGAATCGCCGTAAACTTGACCTGCTTCATGTCGATTTTAATTTAGAGCCCCTCTTCATTTTTCTCTCTCTTTTTTGGAAAGCCCCCCGCCCAGCCCCTCTCAGCCCCCTGCCCCTCCACCCACCGCCAGAAATGAAGCAAAGCTCCTGGGTGACGTGGAGCTGAGAGGAGAGTGCAGCGTTGAGGGGCTGCAGACTGTGGTTTCTCCACTGTAGGGTTCACGGTTCATTACTCGTCTTGTCAGTGTTTTTCCTTAGACATGAGTGCACATTGCTTATCGGGACCCCCGTCCTCTCCTCTCCTCTCTCCTCCTCTGGTTGTCCTTTACTCTGCACAGATTCTACCCCCAATAGGAAGGTTTATTTAGAAGAAACAAAACAGTAGAAGCAGTTGGTGGTATCAAAAGGTAGATTAGGAAGTGTTTTCTTTTGTGCAGATATCAGAGATAACCACAGCCTTCATTATGTGCTCCGCTGACTGTTGGGACTCTGGGGACAAGCATGCTCATACGTGTGACCCTAATGGTCCGTACGCTGCAGTTAAATAATGATAACAGTAACTGATGATTAGAATTATGCAAATCTGGATGTTTGCTATTAATAGCGCGGGTCTGTTTGAGCTGCAGCAGGAGACGCACCGATCTGTCGGGCCGGTCGTTGGAACAGGCCAATGTTCAAAAGTAACTCGTGAACGATTTGAGGTAGGGACTTGATGCAGTCTGCTGGGTTTCCTTAGATAGAAACTTTTTAAACTACTTTGGATAATTACTTGAGCATCCTGAACTGTTGGATAATAACTAGGATCAGTTGGAATGTATGTGGAGTTGAACTGAAATGATTGTTTTTTGTACAGTGCCACGAGACATTTGTTGTGAATTGGTGCTACAGAAATAAACGGAATGATGTAATTTTTTGCCAAATGTGATTTTTAAAAAAAACAAAACATTATTTTTTTTTTTGCCTGAAACAGATTTTTGTTATAAAGAGGTTGTGATTTTTTTTTTTTTTTGAGGAAATCTCACTTTTGGCAAAAGTGCGTTTTCGTGACAATATTAAATTTATGAATGTATGATCCAACTATATGTACTTTGATCCAGTTTTTTTTTCTTCTGTGGTTCAACAAATAATTACACTTTGATGCTTACATGAGGATAATGTTGTGAATCTTTAATTTGCTGTTGGAGTTACAATTTTTATATTTAGCATTTTAGTTCTTAGACCAAAACATATGAATCATAACTGCCTGGTCTCGCAAAGAAAACCAAAAATTGGTTCCAGCTGGGACAAACCTGATCGGTGCATCTTTAGTCTCTATAGACGAGAACAAGTTAAACTCTCCCAGAGTTTTAAAGGAGCTTATGATAATAGAGGCTATAACCTATAGATGGCAGCGAGGGGATTGTGGGTGAGAATCAAGTCTCCAAATTAAAGGGATTAGCTGGATAGTCCTACATAAAAAGTAATGAAGCGATTAGACTAAATAATTTAAATCCACGGACTTCCATATGGTTGAGTGGTTGGTCTGAGTGGAGGAGAGGGGCAGCCACTGGCTTTTTATGTTCTGGACTGAATGGGAGGACTGGGAGAAGACTGGGGGCCCGACAGGGAAGATCCCCCCCCTCCCTCATGCCCCACCGCGCATGCACTGCTCCTCCGATCCCTGGCCCTTATGTCTGATTATGGAAATGAGAGACACAGAGAGAGAGAGAGATCACAGTGGAAGATAATACTTCATTTAATTCAGGGACATAATTAAATAACACAGAACGCCACTTGTGCATTTAAGTGTCTCTTTGAGCAGCATTGTCACCTATTCTCTCAGGGATTTAGCACTTGGGGAGGGGGGGGAAGAGAATTTCCTTTATATTATTATGATTTCAAATAGATAGGTCAGAGGATTGACTGAAGCTCTATGGCATACAAGATGTGCAAATAGCGAGTTAAAACCCGGGGGTTTAGAGGTATATGAAGGAAATGATGTTGTGCTCGGGGGCACTCGTGCAGATCTTTAATTGACTGTATGAAGACGTGGCCTATTTTAACATAATGATGGTCCCTGTGCAGCCAAATCAGGACGGATCCTCACCGGATTGTGTTTACTCTGACAGAGGAACACAAATGACCTGCGAGCATATCAAGATATGAGATAACTTTTTGACAGATGTGTAATGTTGAAGGATGAGCTTATTTTGTGTGTGTGTGCAAACAGGCATATCCAAGCAGGCAGCGGGTGCACGCCTGTTTATGCTGAATGCAGGCATTGTAACTTAAACAAAGCTGAATCCCATGACAAACTTTATATAT